TTTGGCAGAGAAGACAGCACTTGTAAAGGTATGCAGGGGTAACAGGGCATGGCAAGGTTGGAGAATGTTACGTTCCCAAGCAGTTTGCTGCTCCGTGGAGCAAGGCGTGACCAAGAATGAGGAGATGGGAGATGAGACAAAAAAGACCAGCCAGGGTCAGGATGCGGAGGGCCTTGAGCCAGACGAAAAAGCTTAGGCTCCACATGTACCCCTTAAACTTAAAAGTTGGAAAGAAAAAACACATATATATAAAATAAGTAAAAGGCTTAGGCTCCATTTCAGGCTCCCCGTCATGGGGTGCAGCAGTGAGGACTGTGGAATGTGAACCAGGCAGACCCGGCTGCACATTTCAGTTCATTTCATTTAGCCTAGTGCTGGGAGGCTGCAGTGAGCTCTATTTGTGCCACTGCACTCCAGCCTGGGTGACAGAGCCAGATCCTGTCTCTTAATTTAAAGAAAACAAAAAAAAGAATAGGCCAGGCACAGTGGTTCACACCTGTAACCCCAGCACTTTGGAGGCTGAGGCGGGCAGATCATGAGGTCAGGAGATCGAGACCGTCCTGGTCAACAGGGTGAAACCCCATCTCTACTAAAAATACAAAAAAATTAGCTGGGTATGGTGGCGCATGCCTGTAGTCCCAGCTATTCGGGAGGCTGAGGCAGGAGAATTGCTTGAACCCAGGAGGTGGCAGTGAGCCAAGATCACGCCACTGCACTACAGCCTGGGCAACGGTGTGAGATTCTGTCTCAAAAAAATAAGAAAAGAAAAGAAAGAGAGAGAGAAAGAAAGAAAGAGGGTGAGAAGAAGAGAGGGAGGGAGGGAGGGAGGGAGGGAGGGAGGGAGGAAGGAAGGAAGGAAGGAAGGAAGGAAGGAAGGAAGGAAGGAGAAAAAAATAGGGGAAAGAAGGAGAAAAAAGGAAGGAAGGAAGGAAGGAAAAAGAAAGAAAGGAAAGGGATGAAGGGAAGGGAAGGAAGGAAGGAAGGAGAAAAAAGAGGGGAAAGAAAGAAAGAAGGAAAGAAAGAAAGAGAGAGAGGAAGGAAGGGAGGAAGGAAGGAAAGAAGGAAGGAAGGAAGGAAGGAGAGACATAAAGAGAGAAAGAAAAGGGAGGGAGGGAAGGAAGGAAGGAAGAAAGGATGGAAGGAAGGAGGGAGGAAGGAAAGGAGACAGAAGGTAACAAAGAAGGAAGGGAGAAAGGAAGATAGAGAAAAAGAGAAAGAGAGAGAAAAGGAAAGAAAGAAAGGAGAGAGAAAGAGAAAGCCAGCAAGCAAGAAAGAAAAAGGAGATTCTTCTTTAGAAAGAAAAAAGAAAAAGAAAGAAAAAGGAGAAAGACTATCTTATCTGAAGACGGGGAAGTTGGGCATTTAGGCACCAACTCTCTTGATGGTTAAAGGTTGCCTCTGAGGTATGTAACACACCTGTTCCTTCTGGTTCATAGATACCTAAGAAAGCTCTCAGGCAAGGAAGCCAAGAGAAGCAGGCCCTTGTGTGGTGGGGCTCTGAGCATGCTGAAAACTACCACACTGGCAAGGGACTCAGAGAAGGGATGGGGGCTATGAGGCAGGTGTCAACACTGTCTGCTGTTACCTCTTTGAGCCTCTGTTCTCTCATCTGGAAAATGGAAAGGATATGAAATACTTCACAGGAATATTAAATGTAAAGTATTTGAAAGTTACCTAATGACATGGCTGATGCATAGGGGATAAACAATAAATGGTAGGTATGCTTAGGGTCAGCTCAGATGCCAGTTCCTCGGAGAATCCTTCCCTCCCACTCTATTGAGAGTAGCTCACTCCCTTCATTCTCCATCAAAGCAGCATCCTATTTCCTGTGGAGCATTTTAACATAGTATATAATTATCTCGGTTATGTATTTGTTTGACGTTTTGGTTTGGTTTTTGTTTTAGAGACAAGGTCTCACTCTGTCACCCAGGCTGCAATGCAGTGTCGCAATCATAGCTCATTGCAGCCTCAGACTTCTAGGTTCAAATCATCCTCCCACTTCAGCCTTGTGGTAGATAGGACTTCAGGCACGCACTACCATGCCCAGCTACTTTTTTTTAATTTTTTGTTTGTTTGTTTGTTTTTGAGAGACAGTCTCCCTCTGTTGCCAGACTGGAGAGCTGTGGCGCAATCTTGGCTCATCGCAACCTCTGACTCCATGGTTCAAGCAATTTTCCTGCCTCAGCCTCCTGAGTAGCTGGGATTACAGGCACATGCCACCATGTCCAGCTAATATTTTTGTATTTTTAGTAGAGACAGGGTTTTACCATGTTGGCCAGGATGGTCTCGATCTCCTGACCTCTTGATCCACTCGCCTTGGACTCCCAAAGTGCTGGGATTACAGGTGTGAGCCACCATACCCAACCAAGACAAATCATTTCTTTCTTTCTTTTTTTTTTCAGACAAATCCTTTCTATATGCCCAGCATGCAGCCCAGAAGAGACATCATCATATGCTGAGATGTAAGAAAGAGGAAGGCAGCCCCTGAAGTCCAGGGGCCAGTCTGACACAGCCAGGCCTTGGCCTTGGCCTGTTGGACATAAACAACTTTATAGAACATCAACAGCAGACAAGGCCACTCTGTGACTGTGATAATCAAAACACAAGCAGGACCACTCCTAATCATGTCTGAACACAAACAAAAGATACATATTGTCCAAACCACTTAAAAGACCAACCATCCCCCTATCGCTGCCAAAATGAGAGGCTGCTGCTTCTTATCTATGACAGCTTTAGCCTGGGTCTAGCCTCCCCTCCTAGGTGCATTTTATCAAGACCCAAGTCATAGAATTACCCCTGCTCTTGACAGCATCCAATCTAAAGCCAAGCCCTGCTTCCTTAAACTCTCCCAAATTATCTAACAAAAGCCCAGATTCTGTAAGTTCTTTCTTCCACCCTCCTGCTGAGATGCCCCTCTATACCATTTCCCCATTGCCTGCATGCTCACTTGTTGCAATGAGTAACTAATACAACTTGTTTAATTACAGGTGTGTTTCTGGTGGTTTTTGACTGGAATGCAAGACTGTCCCTCCCCACCACCACAGAAAAAGTTTTGTCCACCAAACTTCAGCAGGTAGTGGGAGAATAGAAAATCCAAAGCTGGTCACCCAAATACCAGCTTGAAGCAATTTAGCAACAAAGGAAAGGCCAGACTTAGGACAGTAGCTGACAGCGGACTTGAAGGGAACTTCAGGCTGTTGGAGGATGAGATCTATGATGAAAATGCTGGAAAATCAACCATTTGCTTAAAAAGGTAAAAGCATTTGGGTTGTTTATCCCAGAAAAGACTGGCTTGGAAAGAAGTGTGGTTAAACTCAACTGTTTTATTTTGCAACAGGGAAGAGTTTGATTGTGCCCAAGGAATATCTTCCTAACGGGGACAACGGAGGTAAAGGAGGAGGTGGCATGCCCGTCCCTGGGGAATTTTAAACTCAGCTGGCCAGCCAATGGCTGCAGCATAGCCTGATCTGGGAGTAGGAGGCTGAAGTGACCTCCAGCTGTCCCTCTCATGACCAGGACCTCCGGCTTGTCATGAGAGTTCTGGCCAGCTGCACAGCACGGATTAATGTGCCAAAGGGAGCCGCTCTCTGATCTGTACTAAGCTTTTCAGCTTCTGTGGTCGCCGCCATCAGCCACAGATTTAATGAGAGCCGGGGCTTAATTACCACAGTGCAGCGCTGCCAACACTCTCTCCGGATGACTTTATCTTGGCTCCTGGAAGGATGGGGGTGACAACAAGTGTGTCGGCAGGAGAGGAAAGCCTAAAGCAGGGAGTCTGGACCCTGGTGATTCGAGGGAATGTGGGCTGCAAGAGTGGGTGGAGGGGACGACTGCAGACTCAGTACCTGACCTCAAAGAGCTCACAATGTGTCAAGAGTTAAAACCTCTAATCCAGGAGATAGCCCAAGGCAGTGTGAGTCAACTCCCATGTGTCGCGGAAACTTTGGCGGCGTGAACAAATCTCCTAGAGGAGGGGGGTGGGGGATGGGGGCGTGGGGGCGTGCAGGTTGGGTAAGGAAGATCTTGAATGTCAGGCTAGGCAGTTGGGACTTCATTTCATAGGTAGTAGAGAGCCATCGAACGTTTTTGAGCTGCCGGAACGATCCAAATTTCCTGTGGAAGTTTACTTAATCCAGTACTCCTGAGGGATGGGCTCTGCCTATCCCCCCTTCCCCCCCAAGAATATCTCCTTCCATGCCTCACACTCTGCTGCAGCCAGCGCTGGACTGATTGCCATACTCTGAAACGTTCTTCACAGTCTCTGTACTCCTGGCTACGTTCTTTCCTTCTGGTCTCAAAGTTAACATCGCTCCCTCTAAGGAGCCCTGCGGACACCGCCCTTTTCTCCCAAGCCTGGGCACGGGCTCCCACGCTGGCTGTGTCTCCCCATGAGATCACAGCTCTGTGCTGTCATTATTCATTTGTCTGAATTCTCTGCTAGGCTGTGATTCTGTGGAGGCTAGCGGGTATCGTGTCCTTCTGTGGAGGCTAGTGGGTATCGCGTCGCTAAGAGCCAGCATAAGGCAGTGATGTCGGGGTGGATGCGGCCCAGCAGATCGCTAGGGTTCCTCCCCTTTCTCGGCCAGGGAGTCTTTTGAGGACAATGGAAAATCACAGGTGTCAACAGGTCTAGGCTGGGAGGGAATGTCCCCTTAATTGAATGAACAGTCTGTTATTCTTACAGGAAGCAAAGCGTGCAAAAGACACAAAACAAACTCCGATCGCCTCCTATCTCCCTGACAATAAAGCGAAGCGGGGGCCATTTCTAGGCATGCCTGGGGACTATTTAAGGAAGTTGAGGCGGAGGGTTACACTCGGAATTACCAAAAACTCCTCCGCTCGAGAGCAGAAATAGCGGCGGCTCCTCTTCAGGCCACCAGGGGGAGGAATCGCACCGCATCCCGGGCCTTGGGCAGTTTCGCATGGGTACGGTGTAGGTGGGGGAAATCGCGTAGATCTCTGGGAGTTGTAGTCCTAGGTTGTAATGCGCAGTCTCACTTTCTGCACATCGAGAGTTGTAGTTCCAGAGTGAGGAACTGGACGTGCTTCTAAGCGTCCATGTTGAGCCCTGGAAACTACAACGACCAAAGGGCCACGGGCTCCTGGGCGGTTTCTCGTTTCCGTCGAGTCCAACGTTTGGGGCTGCTTCTGAGGGATCAGCTCAACTGGGTAAGTTTGGCTGGAGAAAGCTTCTATATGTCCATTGAGCTCCCTACAGACTTTCCTATCTGTCCCGGTTTGGGGCCTCGGAGTTTCAGTCGGAGGAATTGCACATTAATCTTTGTCCTTTCCGTTTTCTCTTCTTTTCCTTTTTTTTTTTTTTTTTTTTGCCCTCTCAACCCAGCTTTCCCGACTCCGGGAAGAACCGGGAAGAGAAGACCGTCCTTTCCGTTTTCTATTCAGACACTTGTAGCCACCCACTCCCTTGACCCTCCCACGGTCGCCTCGCGCTTTCACGGCCGGCGCCCCTGAAACTACCCCTGAGCTCCAGTCCCAGGACCCAGTCCCCGCAGCCCTACCTTGGACCCCACAGCCCTACCCTGATTTCTCGGCTCCACCCTGAACCTGCAGCTTCACCCGCCCTGAACCCTGGCTTCTTTATGCTCCTCCACCTTTTGTGTACTTTGCTCTTACTCCCAATTTTCTGTTTTTCACGCCGGTGGAAGGAGAGTCTCCATTCCTTCTTCCCAATCCGCGAATACCCTGGACTGGAAGTCAGCAGACCCGCTTCTAGGCCAGCTCTGCCTCTCACCCTCTGTGACCTTGGGCAAATCATACAACTCCGGACTCAGTTTCTTCCTCTCTAAAACGGAGTATGACTGCTGCTCCATCAGTCTCGGGGTGAGGAGTGTTGTGGAGCCAACAAGTTAGTATGTGTATAAATGTCTTGTAAACTGTAAGACCCTCACGAAAGACAGAGATTATTTTTATCACAATTGTTAATGCTCTGGAACACTCTTATCACGGCTCTTTTCTAGCTCTGCCACCTTGTTGCTCAAACCCATCCCTTGAGCGCTTGGTGTCTTCATTGTCTAAGAGCTGGATGATATTTCCTCACTTCTTCCAGAGACCAAAGGTCAGGCCAATGAGCTGTTAGTCTCCAGAGACCTTTGTCTGAAAGGAAGCACCAGAGAAGTGTGTATCTTGGACTGTATCCTGAAATATCCAGTGATGAAAGGGCCACACAGCTGGCAGAGCAGCAGTCCTCTCCACACCAGAAACAGGGCCCCAGCAGGAGAGGACAGCTGCAACCTAAGCCCCATCCATTCCCTCTTGGCTCTTGTGGACCTGTTCAGTAGACACCAGCTTTGATAGGGCCATCTCAGGCCTGAAAAGGCTGGTGGGAGAGAATCCGTTTTGCCAAAGGGCTTAATCCAGGAAAAATGAGAGACCTTGGCTAGGAAAGAGAGACATAGCATTGTTAATTAGTTCCTAACATTTTATAAGCACTCAAAATGCCCCAGGCCCTAGGCAATATTTTCACTTATGAAGTATCCATTTTACATATAAAGAACTTAGAGAGGCCATGTAGTTAAAATAATTATAGCTGCCTCCTATGGTTATATAGTACCTTCTATGCATCGAAGGCTTTACATGCATTATTTAATCCTCATCAACAATCTCATTAATAGTTACTATTTCTTTTTGAGACACCGCCTCGCTCTGTCAACTGGGCTGAAGTGCAGTGGCACAATCTTGGCTCATTGCAGTCTCTGGCTCCCAAGCTCCAGCAATCCTCCTACCTCAGCTTCTTGAGTAACTGGGAATACAGTTGCAAACTACTACACCCAGCTAATTTTTTGTTTTTTAATTTTTTGTAAGACAGATTTTGCCATGTTGCCTGGGCTGGTCTTGAACTCCTGGGCTCAAGCAATCCTTCCCACTTGGCCTCCCAAAGTGCTGGGATTATAGGTGTGAGCCATTGTGCCTGGCCGTAGTTATTATTCCTGTTGTGAGAATAAATTATCAGAGGCTTAGAGTTTGAGAAACTTGTTCAAGATCACACAGCTAATAAGTGGCAGGGGTAGAATTCAGAGTCATCAAAACCTTTTCTCACCCATTAGACCATATAGCCTTATTTTTAGATCAAAAACACAAAGATTGGGCCGGGCACGGTGGCTCACACCTGTAATCCCAGCACTTTGGGAGGCCAAGGCGGGTGGATCACGAGGTCAAGAGATCGAGACCATCCTGGTCAACATGGTGAAACCCCGTCTCTACTAAAAATACAAAAAAAATCAGCTGGGCATGGTGGCGCATGCCTGTAATCCCAGCTACTCAGGAGGCTGAGGCAGGAGAATTGCCCGAACCCAGGAGGCGGAGGTTGCGGTGAGCCGAGATCGCACCATTGCACTCCAGCCTGGGCAATAAGAGCGAAACTCCATCTCAAAAAAAAAAAAAAAAACCACAAAGATTAAAGAAGGCTTGAGATGGGTTTAAATCAAAGCCAAATGAAGGAACATTTATTGAATCCCAACTCTGTGGGGAAAGCATACAGATAGACAGTTTGGCCTACAAAAAGTATAAAACCCAGGCTTTTTTTGGGTTTTTTTTTGTTTGTTTGTTTTTGTTTTTTTTT